AAAAAAAAAAAAAGCCGGAAGTGGTGCTGTGGCTCAAGTGGTAGAGCTCTAGCCTTGAGCTGAAGAGCTGAGGGACAATGCCCAAGCCCAGAGTTTAGGCCCCATGACCGGACCTCCCCCCCCAAAAAAAAGACATGCAGAGTGCTATAGATGAAGATCTCTGAATGGACAGATTGTGAACAATAGCTATGAGCAAGAAAAAGGTATATATATATATATATATATATATATATATATATATTTCTTTCTTTTCACTGTTCATTTGTGTGTGTGTGTGTGTGTGTGTGTGTGTGTGTGTGTGCCCGCACATGCATGCAAGCGCACCATAGCTCCACTTTCAACATGTTGGTATTTATTGGAGACAAAAGTCTCATGGACTTCAATGCCTAGACTGGCTTTAAATTGTGATCCTTAGATCAGCCTCCTGAGTAGCTAACATCACAGGTGTGAATCACAGATGTACATCTTAATAGATAAAAGTACTATTTTTGATGTTCCTGGGGGGGAGGGAAAAAAGCAAGTCATGGCCAGGTGCTGAAGGCTCATGCCTATAATCCTAGATACTCAGGAAACTGAAATCTGAGGATCATGATTTGAAGTTAGACCAGACAGCAAAGTCCCTAAGATCCTTATCTCCAATTAACCACCAGAAAATGGGAAGTGGCTGTGGCTCAAGGTGGTAGAGCAGTAGCCTTGAGCAGAAAAGCTCAGGGACAGCACCTAGGCCCTGAGTTCAAGAACCACAACAGGAAAAAAAAAAGTAATTCATAAACCAGATGCTGATGGCTCACATCTGTAATCCTAGCTACTCAGCAGGCTAAGATATGAGGATTATGGTTCAAAGCCAGCAAAGCAGAAAAGTCTATGAAATTCTTTTGTGTGTGTGTGAAATTCTTATCTCTAATAAACTAGTTTAAAAAAAAGCCAGAAGCAGTACTTTGGCTCAAGTGGTAGAGTGATATTCTTAAGCAAAAGAAAAAGAAAAAAAGAGAAAAAAGCTCAGAGACAGCACCCAAGCCCTAAGTTCAAGCCCCAGGACTGGTATAAAAATAAAAGTAAGTCATGAGCTCCATGCAGGTGGGTTAAAAATTTAAAAACATTAATAAAGAAGAAAATGCAGGAGTATAGTTCTAAAATTATTTAGAATCACATGTTAAAAAAACAAGTAACTCCAACTCATACACAGGATTAAAATTATGCAAACCAATGTTATATATATTTATATAAGTGCACAGTTACCCACACATATGCAAATACACAAAGCCATTCACAGTCTACCTTGTTAAATCTAAAAATTTCTTTTTTCACATTTTAACCCTGGGAAGCTGGGAAGAATTCCAAAGTTGATAGTGTTTCATTGTTGCTTTTTTTTTTAGTGTTTTGGTTTCATGAATGTTACATGAATATACTTTGAATTGTATACATACTGCTTTAAAATAGCTACTTAGTTTTTTCATGTAGAGATAAAAGTAAATCATTGAAAATGAAATATAAGAGCAGGTAGTTAACTAGAAAACCCAAATCTAAATTTAATAAAGCAAGATTGGATGAATCCACTATCACAAGGCTAAAATAACATACAAAAGTTATTTTCGCATGTTAGAAGTTAGGTTACCTGTTTTACATCTTGGACAAGATAACGCAAAAACATATTACTTGGGCCTTGTTTCTGTGACAAAGAACAACAGGAAGAGTTATTCCCTTTAACCCCATATGACAGACAACATTTTATTTCAGAATATATGAGTAACCGAATACACTTACCATATACAGTAACAGAATATGAAATTTTGACTTAATAACTTTAAAGAAGGACTAACAACAACAATAATAATAATGATAACCTAAAGAAGGGATTTCTAAAGAAGATACAATTAGGTAAAATATTCTTCAAAGTAATATGTATAGCAAGGATGTTAATTTATGTGGTAAGAGGCAGAAATAAATTTTAAGTAATTTATAAATATTCTTTACCATAAGTAACTGTCACACAATCACAAAGTACATTGACTCAAGTGGTACTTTCTTGAATCTTTACAATGTTCAATCAGGTTACTAAGGGATTCCATGCACTGTTTATAATGGAAATAATATATAATATAATCATGGGAAAAACTACATATTTATACTAGAAAACAGGCAACAATACAATCATGTGTGTGCTAAGAAAAAGAGTTACAAATAAATCATACTCTCATGGCACTTGTGGCTTATTCCTATAATCAACCCAGGAGGTTGACATCTGACCATCAAGGTTTGCAGCCAGCCCAGCAGGAAAATCCTTGAGACTCTTATCTCCAATTAACTACCAAAAAGCCAGCAGTGGAGCTGTGGCTTATGTGGTCGAGCACCAGGCTTGAGCGAAAAAGCTAAGAGACAGTGCCTAGGCCCTGAGTTCAAGCACTAGTACTAGCATCAAAAACAAATAAAAAGAACAAATAATCTACTCTCAGGAACAAATCATTGTGAATAACTAGAGTATTCAAGAACGAAGGACTTGAATGGATTTTTTAATTGTGTAAATACCGTACAGAGGGGTTACAATTACATGAGCAAGATAATGAGTACATTTATTATCAAGCATTGTTGCCTCCTCCTTTGTTTCCCCTTACCATCCCTTCCCATCTCCCCCCTCTCGCTCCCCCTCCCCCGCCAAAGTTGTTTGAATGGATTTTTTTTTTTGGCCAGTCCTGGGGCTTGAACTCAGGGCCTGGGCACTGTCCGTGAACTTCTTTTGCTCAAGGCTAGCACTCTACCACTTGAGCCACAGTGCCACTTCCAGCTTTTTCTGTTTATGCCGTACTGAGGAATGGAACCCAGGGCTTCATGCATGCTAAACAAGCACTCTAACATTAAGCCACATTCCCAGCCCACTTAAATAGATCATTGAAGAAAGGACAATATGGAAAGGATAAGGAAGAATAATTCCAGGAGGACGCATAGCTGAAGCAGTTGCTGTTCCAATGAATCAGGCAGCCTCGTTTCAACAGCATTTTCCATAAGGAAGATGCAAGAACAACATTTTAATAGTTGGCTGTTAGTCGGATAAAATGGAATTGGTTAGAATGTTTCTTTTTTGGTTGAAAAGTCCGTGTATCTACAAATGGTCTGTGTAGAGACTCATACTCAAGGTGACAGAGTACCAATAACTCACACCTATAATCCTAGCTACCCAGGAGGCTCAGATCTGGAGACTGAGGTTCAAAACCACCTTGGGCAGGAAAGTCTATGAGTCTCTTATCTCCAATTAACCACCAAAAAGCTAGAGGTGGAGGTGTGGCCCAAGTGGTAGAGCTCTAACCTTGAGCAACAGAGCTAAAGGACAGTGCCCAGGTCATGAGTTTAAGCCCCACTACAAGCACCAAGAAATTCTTTTTAAAATCTTAAGGGAGATGACTGACGGACTGTTCATTACTCACTGTGTTATAGAGCTCTTCCAGTCGCTGGATGGTGAGAAATCGGTGGAGGTTCACTCCACTTTCTATTAAGAGCTTCACAAAATCTACCCGATCCATCACTAAAGCATCTAGCATTGCTTGCTCTAGGGCACCATGCTTCAGAAGAGAGAAATACATAAGAGATACAATGGCAATTAACAAAACAGAAATAAGTAAAGGTGATTATGACCACTAGCATTGTAAGTAATCTTTTATTCTATTTTTCTCTAATTTATATTATCAATACAATTCTACTGTGTGGTTAGAAGCGGTGAAAAGAGAGCATAAGACGAACAAGTTAGGCAAGTCCTTTTTATGAGGATTTTCACTCAAGTCAGATAATTGAAATCAAAGAGAGCTAGGCACTGGTGGCTCACACCTGTAATCCTAGCTACTCGGGAGGCTGAGATCTGAGGATCCAGCCAGGCAGGAAAGTCCGTGAAACTCTTATCTCCAATAAACCACCAGAAAACCAGAAGTGGTGCTGTGGCTCAAGTGGGAGATGACTAGCCTTGAGCTGAATCGCTGAGGGACAGCACCCAGGCCCAGAGTTCAAGACCCATGACTGACAAAAAGGAAGAGGAGGAGGAGGAGGAGGAAAAAGAGAAGAAAACAAAAGAAATCACAGAAGAAGAGAAGGAGGAGGAGGAGGAGGAGGAAAAAGAAAAGAAAACAAAAGAAATCACAGAAGAAGAAGGAGGAGGAGGAGGAGGAAGAAAAAGAAAAGAAAAGAAAAGAAATCACTGCCCATAAAGGAACAGTTTACTAACTTGAACAAAAGGAGCTCTGGGTTTTACTGATTCTTTTTGAGGAATGGGTTGGAGTGTGTTCACTATCTGTCAGTCATAGACATCCTTTCAGGAGAAATGTTCCTCTTGTGTGGAAGGACCTAGCTTGTCTTTGGTAGGCAAATGGATGGTCAGCTTCGTTTGAGTTAGGGCTGCGGAAATCAACTAGCGACACTGTCTTAGCATTAAGCTAGGCTTGAAGAACCTGCAGTACTGAGAAAGCACAAGATGTGTAGTTGAAGAAATCACATCTAATAAGACAAGTTAGCTTCTTGTGATAGTCGTGGATAAAACATTTTCCAAATGACTGACTCACCACCATGCTTTCACAGCTGAGTAGCATCTGACTCAAGAGTTTTGAGGCAGCAAAAGGGACAAACACAATATAAAGACCAAGAGGCCAGCTGTTTACCCCATTTGAGTCAGCTCTCAGGTATCTGTGAGTGCCAGGGAAAAGTCAGTAATTTTCACAAAAGCAAGGCTTCGAGTTTCTACAAAGTCACCTAAGCACTTGCTATCAGAGTTCACTGGTGACAAGTGTTATCTTAGAGCAGAATGTTGGTTCTGCTCCAACAGGCTGCCTGAGAGCTAAGTTAATCCTGGGGGCTTACTGAAGGCATCTCCTGGGACAAAGGTTTTCCTTGGTAATAATTTCCCCCGGTCTCTGTTTGTAATTTGTGCAGCCATTTTGAACCTTGTAACCTTTAACTCGGATTAGTCATACATAAGTGGCACTTAGTCTATAAACATTCTGACCTTGTGGCTGAATCCTGTGCTTTATGACAGAACTATAGAAGAAAACACACATGACGCTTTTAATCAGCATTAAGTAAAGGGCACAGAATTTCTTTGCATTTCTGTCCCCCAGTGGTGGTAATGTTTCCTGAAGCACGTTTTGCACTTACTAAGTTCTATGCAAAAAATAATCAAATAAACGGGACAACTTTTAAGTTGTAACAAACAAAATGAAAATTGTTTCATTTGATCATAAGTTAAAAATCCTTTCAGCTGGTTGCCAGAGGTTCACACCTGGAGTCCTAGCTACTCAGGAAGTTAAGATCTGAGGGTCGAAGTTTGAAGCCAGCCTAGGCAGACAAAACTGAGAGACTCTTATTTCCAATTAACCAGCAAAAGGCCAGAAAGTAAGGGTATGGCTCAAGTGACAGAGGGCCAGTCATAAGCAAAAGAGCTAAGCAAGAGGTCCAAGGCCCAAGTTCAAGCCTCAGTGTCCTCACCACACACACACACACACACACACACTAACCTCCATTCTGTTTTTCCTCCAACTTCCTACTTCAGTTTCAATTAGCTCAAGGGATGGAAAAAGCTATTTTCAGTGAGGTAAAGTAGAATAGGGAAATACCTTAGTTTTCCAGTGGTGCCCAGCTATACAGATGTTATCTATCACTCCTTCAATTTTCTATTTGTCCTCCCGTAACAAACCAGCATGTAAAAATGTTTTTTTTCCAAATAACTTCACCTTCACTATACCTTCCAATGTTGCCCATATGTTAAGATGTGTTTCTTGGCAATGTCCATTCTGTCCCAAGCCATTGCCAGGTTTAATTGTTCTGATATTGATAAGTTTGTGCCTAGGACAAAAGCAAGGGAAAAAACCATAGGTGTATTCAAACTGTCAAATATCAACGGCCCTAGAATATGAAAATAGGAAACAAGGAACGAATTGGTTCAGTCGCTCACCCTTCAGCAGAGCTGTCAGAATTGCTAGGTCAAGGTCTTGCTGCTCCTCAGAATCCACATCAAATATGGTAATCTAGAATAGTTTAAGAAACACAATTATTCTAGGTATTCACACACCATGAGGAACGTAAAGATGCAATACCTCTACATAAATATATAAATATAAAATAATATTTATCAAAATAAACTCCAGGAAATGGAAACAAGAGGTTTTTCTTTGTTGTTGTTGTTTTCCTTTGCTTTTTGTCTTGTTTGTTTATCTGTCTTTGAGAAAGTAAAAAGGGGTGCGGGGGGGGCACAAAAATGGAGGGCAAAGATGATCAAATGCAGCAGGGGTACTCAGTAGACACCATGTTGAAAATGAATGATGCGACTTGTGGGTAAGGTCAGAAGGGAAAATCTGGGAGAGAGGAAAGGAATGACACTGTCCAAAAAGAAATGTACTCTTTTCCTGACCTCGGTGCCTGTAACCCTAACAATAAAAATAAAAAAGAAACAACTATTTAATAATAATTGAAAATAAAATTAAAAAAGGAAAGAGAATGCTGCATATCCTACAGACTCCTAAAAAAATTTCAAGCAGTATTAATAGAATGCACATGTAAGCAAACAAATTGAGGAGAATATTCATTTTGTAATTTCCAAACAACATAAAGTTTAACTTTGTGTGAATATATGTTTGTGTGTGTTCACATACATGAGTGTGCCTGACTTGAGCTTGAACTCAGGATTGCTGCACTTTTTTACTCAAGGTTAGGGATCAACCTTCAGATCTCTAATTCTACTTCTAGCTTTTTGGTGGCTAACTCGAGATTAACCAGTAATCTTCAGATCTCAGCTTGCTGAGTAGCTAGGGTTACAGGCATGAGACACCAGTGTCTGACCAATTCTAACATTTTTTTTAACTTATAGAAAACTTTTTTAAGTAGGTTGACAAAGAATGGGAGAAATTTGGGGCTGGGAATGTGGATAAGTGGTAGAGTGCTTGTCTGGCATGCATGAGGCCCTGGGTTCAATTCCTTAGCACCTCATAAACAGAAAAGGCTGGAAGTAGTGCTGTAGATCAGGCGGTAGAGCACTAGTTGTAAGCTGAAGAGTTGAGGGACAGCACCCAGGCCCAGAGTTCAAGCTCCACCACCGACCAAAAATAAATAAATAAATAAAAAAGAATGGGAGGAATTTGGAGAGTGGGAACTAAATTGTAAATATTCCAAGCACCCTACAACTTACTGCATGGCTAACATGCTCTGAAAATATTTGTATTTTTACTACTTCTGATACATTTTCCGTAATGCTGATTATTCGAAGTGCTTTGATCCAGGGAGAACGTAGAATCTAAAGCGTGCGGGGTAGGACGGCGATGTGGGGGTGAGCAGTCACGTTGACTCAACACAGGGGCTAATTCTAGAAAGTAACATCCGTCTCACTCCAGCTTTGTTTAAATTCCGCATTTTCAAACAGGCACCGGTGGCTCATACGCGCGATCCTAGCTACTCAAGAAGCAGAGATGTGAGGATCCAGGTTCGATGCCAACCAGGCTAGGAAAACACATGGCTCTTATCTCCCATTAACCAGCAAAAGCCAGAAGTGAAAGCTATGATTCAAATGGCAGAGTGCTAGCCTTGAGCACAGAAGGATAGGGGTCAGTGCTCCTGTCCTGGATTCAGGCCTCACACACACTCACACACACTCACATGCACACACTCACACACTCACACACACACGCATGCATGCATGCACACACGCACATGCACACACTCACATGCACGCACATACTCACACACACGCATGCATGCACGCACGCACATACACACTCACACACTCTCACACACACACACACACACATGCACGAGTGAAGAGAAAGAAATATGGAAATTTCTGGAAACCTGTGCTTTTGGAGACACCATACTTACGGAATCCCTGTAGGCCATGCACTGCATTAGAATGTGGAAGAGGTGTCTGGACTGCTCGGGGCTGAAGTTGAAGGTGCTTTCGATCATGCTGAGGATCCCGTCTTTCACCTGCGGACGCAGCATCCTGCCAGAGAAAAAAACGTCCCCACGCAATACAACCCAGAGAAGGGCCACAGCCGGCAGCCTCGGCCACGAAACCCACGTCGCCACCTGACCTGCACCGTTCTGCCAGAGAGCAGCGAGCTGAGCAGGAGGGAAAGGGCGCCAGCAAGAGGCTAAATGTCTACGTGATGATGAATGGACCTGCCACAACCCTGAACCTGTGAGGTACAGGTCTCTCTGTCTCTCTGTCCCTCTCTCTGTCTCTCTGTCTCTGTCTATGTCTCTGTCTGTCTCTGTCTCTTTGTCTCTCTCTATTTCTCTCTGTCTTTGTCTCTCTCTGTCTCTATCTCTGTCTCTCTGTCTCTTTCTCTGTCTCTCTCTGTCTCTGTCTCTGTCTCTCTCTGTCTCTCTCTCTGTCTGTCTGTCTGTCTCTCTCTCTCTCTCTCTCTCTCTCAGCAGTACTAGAATTTGAACTCAGGATCTCACTCTTCCTTACCAGGCACTCTACACCACTTCAGCTATACTCCTACTCCTTTTTGCTTTGGTTGTTTTTCAAGCAGGGTCTTGCATTTTTGCCTACGAACAGCCACCTACACCTCCAAGGATTCCCACCATGCCGTCTCACCTGCTTTATTTGTTGAGATGCTGCTCATTTTTGCTCATGGCTTCACACCATGATCCTCCTTATTGCTGCCTCCAGAGTAACTGGGCTTACAGGTGGGAGCCACCAGCTCCAACCCAGCTCTTCAGATGATAGATTGAGGGATTAAGGCTACCAAATTCTCGAAAGGATCAAAACCCCTAAAAGGTTTAAGAATTACTCATCCAGGGTGAACAAGAAAGGAAGAAGTCTGAGAAGAGAGAGGAGAGGTAGAAGGTAGAACTGAAAAGATGGGGAGAAAAAAATGCAAGAAGAAATCTCAACATACCTATGTGAAAATGGAGTTAGGAAACTTAAAGGGCTAGGTGTGGGGCCAGAAAGAACGATGAAAGGGCTGACATTGATCAAGAGCCGCTGTGCTCATGAACTACTTAAAGATAATAAATTAATAAACTTAGTTAAGAAAGAAGGAAGCACCAGGTACTGGTAACTCACACCTGTAACCCTAGCTACTCAGGACGCTGAGATCTGAGGATCATGGTTCAAAGCCAGCTCAGGCAGGAAGGTCTGTGAGACTCTTTTCTCCAACTAAGCCCCTGTGAAAAGCTCAAACACCTAGTCCTTGAATTCAAGCCACCTGACAAAAAAAAGCAAGAGAGGGAGGGAGGGAGGGAAGGAAGAAAGGAAGGAAGGAAGGAAGGAAGGAAGGAAGGCCATTTCTCAGCTAAGAAAATAGCAGTCCTTCTGGAGCATGTTGGTACTGATGAACAAATAGAGTCGCTGAACATTGTGTTCCAATCTCAGCCTCTGTGCTCCAAGGATGTGGCCACATAAATGCAGCTGGAAGAAGAAGCAGCGTGGAGGAAGGAGACATCACTGGAGTCACACAGAGGAAGAGCTAGCCACTCACCCTTCGTCGGCTAAGTGTTTGTGAGTGAAGGCCAGGAGGTCGGCCGCTCTGCCCGAACCTTCACAGACCACCACAGGGACTTCGTTCTTCACCGTCTCCCACACCGACAGGATGACGTTGGGGCCGCCTTCCACCACCAGCCCCATCACGGGCACCCCTGGGAGTGAGCCTGGTTCAGATCACACACAATTCCACCTGGTTACGTGGCCCCCCTAGCCCAGCCAGCCAGTCTCTCTACACGCGCAGCTGAAGATGACCACCTCTCGCCATGCCTGCACAGACCCTCACTCTGCTGCTTTACCCAGACTTGCCCAGATCAAGAGCAAACCAGGAACAGATTTCAAATAAAACGTTGGCATAAATACGGTGAGAGTACCTTCCAGCTTTTGCCAGAAAATAAAGGCAGATAAAGATACACAGTGATAATTATTTGAAAAAAAACAAACAAACAAATCCTGTCCTCAAGAGATCTTAGCTTTTCCTCGCAGGAAATTCTAAAAGTATCTGTGCGTACACAGCTGCGTGATGGATTGTGCATCTCCACGGATGATCAGCCCGTTGCCATTTCCATCCGTGTTTTGTTTTTGCATCTGGGTCTCGCTAGGTAAGCCAGGATGGCCTCAGATTCGCAATCCTCCCACCTCAGCCTTCGAGTGTCGGAATTACAACTGTGCCGCACTCGTGGTGTGAATGTGAACATGGTGTGGGGTCAGCAACTGTCCCCTCCCTCCCTGCGAGCTGCTCTCCGCTGGGAATGACAAGTACAGGAATGCATCCTGCCTTCACCCACTGAGAAATGCCTGCGTACAGGCTCAGTAAGCTTGTAATGATAGTGATTTCTAGGAATGAGATTGGATGGGCAAACTTCAAACCCTTAATATATCAATATGTTCTATTTTCCACTGTTCAGATTTCATACAGTGGTCCTATATTAAGAATGGGGGAAAACTCACTGTGGAGTCATTCTTTCATAAAAGAGATGAAGTGAAACAAAGCTTGACAGGCCATGAAGAATTTATCCTACTTGTATATTTACAGTGTATACATGGCTATATATTTTATATGTCTGTATACAGATAGCTGTGTAACAGGTTAACACATAGCCAGACCACTGTGGAAGCTAGTCATTACACCATTAACTGTGGGAGAGAAAGAGGAGGATTGTACAAATCATAGATTTCTTATTTAAGTTTAAACATCACATTGACATTTTCCTTTTTTGTGTATGTGCCAGTCTTGGGGTTTGAACTCAGGGCCTGGACACTGTCCCTGAGCTTCTTTTGCTTAAGGCTAGCCCTTTACTCTGTAAGCCACAGCTCCTTTGCTAGCCTTTTTTTTGCAGGGGGGTGTCAGAGTTTATTGAAGATGAGAGTCTCATGGAATTTGCTGCGTGGGTTGACTTCAAGTCGCAATCCTCAGATCTCAGCCTCCTGAGTAGCTAGGATTGCAGGGCATGAGGTACCAGTGCCTGGTGACATTTTACCTTTTAATCATTATTTTTTCCAATTTTATTTCTTGAGAGAAGAAAAGTTCACACACAACATCATCCTCACACTTCAGCAATAGAGACTCTGAACTTGGGGGCCAAAGGCCAAGGCTGACCTGCAGATCTCTCCCTGACATAGAGACCTGGCGTCCACACGGATGACAGCAGATACCAGCCTTCCCCCCCAGCAGGACTTCAGCCACGTGTGTTGGCTGAGCCCTGTGACAGAACTCACGGCTGTGTATTTTCTGCAGTGAGATATACTTCTCCAGGCTCCTCCGGAGCTTCATTTCGTTTCCATACTTGCCCACAGTCCCATCGTCGGACAGGATGAAGTGTGAGTGCATGCAGTTGAGGGTGGTGAGCGTGCTGAGCGGGTTCCCCAGGGTCTGGTACATGCACACCACCTGAGACACAGCAAGGACAAGGGAAGGTCAAACGGATCCCGAAGCCTGTGGCTCACACCTGTCATCCTAGCTACTCAGGAGGCTGAAATCGGAGGACTGTGATTCAAAGCCAGCCTGGGCAGAAAAGTCCATGATACTGTTAGCTTCAATAAAGTAGCACAAAGCTGGAAGTAGAAATGTGGCTCAAATGGTAGAGTCACAGCCCTGAGCAACAAAACCCAGTGAGAACCTGAAGCCTTGAGTTCGAAACCCACTACAGCCTCTCAAAAAAGAGGTCACAGCTCAGCTCTTTCCTTGGGCTTAATAACCACCCAGCCAGGTCCAATTTCATCCAACTGAAAACAAAAAGGAAAACAACACAATCAAGGTCTTTCTTAATATACCTGAACACTTCCTTAAGATGTATAAGCTTAAACGAGTGGGTTTAATAATTCCTCTAATTAAGAATGGTAACCATGGGTTCCAATATAAAAAAACAACTTTCATACAACACCAAAAAAGGGGGGGGATGGGATGTGTAAGTTTGTGCTCTTGTATCTTGCATAAGATATGTAAACTAAAAAAAAAAAAACTTGAATAATGATCAATTCCTGCCCTGTTTTTTTCAGGCTGATTTTCCTCTTGTGTAAATGAGGATGATAATCACTCCTATGTTAGAGGATTTCTGTGAGGCTTCAAAGAAATAATGTACATAAAAAGCACAATGACATTTGACAAATATTAAGTTTTCGTGGTTACCTTTATCATTCCAAAACATAACACCAAGGTTAGAAATCAGAAATAGAATGGTTTATAGATTTACTATACATATTTTGTGTCTATGGTAAAATAATAAACAATGAAAATGTTACTAGGTTGAATTGTAAAAAAAAAAAAAAGTCTTTGAAGGAGTAGAACTGGCTCAAGTGGTGGAGCGCCAGCCCCAGTATCAGCACAAAAAATGATAATAGATTTTTGAAGTCCCTAAAGATAAGTATAAAAATACTGTGCAAAAATCTATGTACAAGGATATTGAATCTCACAGGCAGCCAAAGTAAATTGGAACAGTTAGGTATTGTTTTATATCTATCAGATTGCCCCAAAAGAACAAAACCTAGAAGACCCTAAATGACAAAGGTACAGAGTAACAATTGCTCTCGTAGCAAATATGGATTTTTTTTCAAACACAATGTACGGGGTCTCAAGTTTTGAAATGCATATACCAACTGGACTAATCATTCTTCTTTAAGAATTTTTTTCTAGAGAGAAATAAACTAGCACCAAACATATCTATGTCTTATCACAATATTAATATTATTATCTGTAAGAGTGACAAACAGGAAACCACCACAAAACACAATTATACAGAAATAACTGATTGAGTTATAAAGTAGTAGAACACTACCAGGCATGAGGTGAACAACAGTGCTTGTAATTCTAGCTACTCTAGAGCCTGAAAACTGGATGATCTTGGTTCAAAGCCTGCTTGGGCAGAAAAGCCTACGAAATTCTTAACTCCAATTAACTAGTATAAAAGCACAGGGACAGCACCCAGGCCCTACACACACACACAAAAGGGAACTATTAGAAAGGAGGAAGGGAAACAGCAGGAAGAGGATAATGGAACAAGAGAGGGTAATGGGGGCAAATTGATCAAAATACTTAGTGCATGATTGTGAAAATGTCATTATGAAATCCATTATTTTGTACAATTAGTGTACACTAATAGAAATTTTAAACTAATTCATAAATACTAGACTGTATGGTTAATATTGAAATATGATAACAACATTATAGTTATATTTTCTTAAATTGCTCCTAGATTTCAGAAATCCATCGTGAGTATTTACAGATAATATTTGGCTCAAAATTCTAAAGACTAGCTGATGGAGTGGCTCAAGCCTGTGTAGCAACTACAAGGTCCTAAGTTCAAACCCCAGTACTGCATAAATAAATGAATGAGAGCATTGTTGGAAACATGAAGAAACATGTATACTTCACTGGTGAGTACCCATATAGAATTTTATACACTGTTAAAATTACATAGGTTTAAGAGTGCAGAAAGTGTTTAAGAGCATATGAAGTGTTTATAAGAGTGTGGGAAAGGTTAATAAGTGTGTGGGAAAGGTTTATAGGAGAATGAGAAGGGTTTATAAAGCCATGTGTGTGTGTATATATATATATATATATATATATATATATATATATAATCAAATATAATGTTGCTATTTCATGGATTTTTCACCTGTTGAGAGGGTCTCTGGAATGTAACTCCACAATAGGCAAGGGATCACTGTAGTTATCTTGCTTCTTTAGACCTTTTTATCCAACATCTTATGTTTACAAAAAAAAAATCCTACATGTCTTATAAATAGACTTAGATCAGCCCATTCCCTTCAGATAAGACCAAAGGATCAAATACACTCAAGTAAATGAAGCAGAGATTAACAGGCAAGGGGTGGGGGATGAGAACTAGCAAGGATGTGTCTTGTTTTGCCTCATGCAAACCACAACAAATGTATTGACTGTTTCAGGACAGGTGCCATGGAAGAGATTTACACAGCATATAGCACAGTGTGATTTATAGTTCAGGAAATGGTTCTGGCTACAGTGTTGAGAATAGAGACAAGAGAACCAGGAAGAGAAGCTATCGCAATCATTACAGCATCTGAAATGGTCCTTGGACACACACCCCGTACCCCACCCCATCAGCAGGAAGGGAACCAGAGATGTCAAATGCTAGGTTTATATTTTGAAAATGGAGGTGAGATCATTTTTTTGGGGGGGTCCGGTCGTGGGGCCTGAACTCTGGGCCTGGGC